TAGAAGCTAAGTCCTGAAATAAAGACCAGTAGGAAAGAAAAAAAAAGCAAATTGTTTGGCTATTACAAGAATAATCAAGCTGTTCACCTGGGAGCCATCAAGTCCCTTCATGACAAACCCCCTTCCAAGACTGAAACTCAAAGGGAACACATGAGCAAGCAGGTAAGCTCGCTAGTGACCACGTTTGTCTACCTGTGAGTGTAACTGGGAGAAAGGCAGTAATGAAGACATTGACAGAGCTTGACAATGTTCCACAGACTTCTGTGGACCTTGAGATGAGAAACAAAAGAGGAAGGGGTGGTTGGTCCGAAGTTTAGGGAGACTTGGGAACCCTGAGCCAACAGACACTGACTTAGTCACTGGGAGCTAGAGCTGACAGAAAACTGTCCAGCTGATATGAAGTGGGAGGTGCGCATGAATGCCCAACTTGCAGACTACTCATTTGACCTACCCTGGATGGCTTGATAATCAGAACTCAACTAGAGGAAGATAAAGAAATTTGATACAGGAAGCAAGAGTAATTTGCTACAATTTGATAAACTTGACCTTTACTTATAGATGTAGTAACATAAAATAACCAACAGAAAGGGAGGAGTCTTCAAATCAAAGATCGAGTCTAAACCCTTAGTATACAAGGTTGACAAGGATGGGAAACTTAGATATTGGCTACCTAAAATGGGAGGGCACCCCCCGGTGGGGGTGGGGGTGGGGTTGGGGGTGGAATAAAGGCATGAAGTGGCTGGCTAACAAATTTTCATGAAGGAGTTTAGTTTCAGAGTGAGCAGGGTGGGGGTGTGGGGTAGAATCCCCACTGAATAGTTTTCATCTTGTCTAGATGGGTCTGGTGAAAGAAGATGGAGATAGGATTCTTTTGATTCAATTAGAAATTGTTATCATGACTAACTGTGATTGTCACAAGTATAAAGGTAGAAGTTGTGATACAAAAAGAGGGGAGTAGTTAATCTTATATTCCAGGAACAGAGAACCCTAGGACCAGAAAGAGGGAGGAGCTTGAGCAAAACTTGGGATCCTAACCAGAGAAGCAGCAACATCAAAGGACACCAGAGATGAGACAGAGGCAGAGGTGATGGCATGGAGAGATAGAAGACTCATGGAAAGTGAAAACCTGTGTGCTGACAGGCAGTGAGCTGGTTTGCAAAATGTGCCCTTTGGCCATTTAAAAAATTCTTGCGTGTTTTTGTGTACTTAAAACAAACACAACTTGCAATAAAAAAAAAATGCTGTTATGGGGAAATGGTTCATAGTCAGTAATGTTGTTTTTAAATTTTATTGTGTGCGATTGCTGTGCTTGAAGATATTATAACTAGTGTTGATAAAGCAATGTTCTGTTATGTTATTAAAACAATAAACATAAAATAAACAAAAAAAGAAATCTGGAGAGGCAAGATCAGGGTTGCAGGGTGGATAGGGTTATGCTTCCTAATGAAAGTCTCGTTGGACAGCCCTTGTTACCATCACAGAATAAGGAGATGCACTGTCATGATGGAAAAAAATTCTTCCCGGTAACTTTCCAGGCCTTTTTCTGACCACCAGAATTTTAAATTTTCATAGAACATCTTTAAATTAAGCCCTTGTGACTATCCTGTGTCCTGTGAAAAAATCTATCAAGATTACCCCTTTGGAATCCTAAAGAAGTCATAACCTTCTGAACTGACTGACCTCTCTGCTTGAATTTAACTGGCCCAACTTATACTCTCAGTTTTGACTGGACCTTGCTCTGGATTCTACTAATATATCCAAGAGTTGCCCTCACATATGATTCATTTCATAAAATCATTTCATTACCATTGCATCAATGGTAATTCTATGGTCTTCCACCAGTTTTCTGGACTTCAATCAGTTTCTTCATTTGTTGAGGTTGAAGTCTCCCCTCTTGGCTCACTTCAAAGTCTTCCCAACCTTCCTTAGAAGGTTTGATCCATCTAAAAATGACTGTTTTATGTGGGGCAGCATTTCTGTAAACTTGTTGTTTAACGTCATTGATTTAGGAAGATGTTCACATGAGTGTTGTTAAAAATTTGCTATTTCATCTGAAGCCTACAACCATTCAGTCTCATTAAGAGTTGATCCAATGGTATAAAATAAGAGTTTCTTAGAAGCATTCATAAACACTAGATATTATTAATAACAAACTAGCTGTGAGGCTAATGGGATGAAAAATAATTTAAAGACTTAAAGGTTAACTTAAGTCAAGTGAAACACAGAGAGTATATTAGAGGAGTCAATTTCTCTCATACACACACAAAAGGTTTGGAAATCATTGGATAAGAATTATATAAAAGGTTAGGAACTTTGTCCCTACCACCTTTATTTTTTATTTTTCAAAGACAAATGTCGTGTCTTTCCAATTTTGCTAATCATTCACTCACCATGATCAGACAAGCAAAGTGAAAGGCTCTGGGGTTATTCAGCTGGAGATGATTAAAAGTAGATTTAATATATGACTTTATATATAGTTCTGCTACATGGAGGACAATGGACAAGCTTTTTTATTGAAATTAAAGTAAGAGGATCTGAAGTTAAGCTGGTAACTGATAAAATCTACAACACAAAAAGTAAAAATATTTTTCTGATGGTGAAATTTAGAATAATCTTTAAGGACCTCTATTCAAAGAGGCTTTTGTAAACAAAATAATTTCCTATTAACTAGAATCATTAGCAGGAAAAAGTTGAGGCTTTCTGCTCCAGTAAAGCCTCGAAAACCCTGGAGCTATGAGTTGGAATTGATTCAACAGTGCCTACTAACAGCAACAGGATCATTTAGGTCTACTGAGAATAACTGTCAGACATTGGAAGTTTGATTTCAAACCTTCAGAAGTACATTTATGTCTGTGTATGCTAATAGCTCCACTTCACTTAGTTGCTAGCCTCCACTATCAGTATATTATTAATGTATTATTTACCTCAAACCTAAAGAAGCTTTTTTTTTTCCCTGCCTCATATTTATTTGTACAAACAGCACAGGAGGGCACCAGCTCCATACAGATGGTAGCCCAAAGGGTCATGCCAATCCCTCTGTCCTCAGATGGAGAACTCTATTCCATCTTTGTGGGGGCCTGGGCACCTGTGGGAGCCTGAGGTGAGGCCTTGGCTGGGGCTGGAGTTGAGGCCTTGGCTGGGGCTTTAGTTGAGGCCTTGGCTGGGGCTTTAGTTGAGGCCTTGGCTGGGGCCTTAGTTGAGGCCTTGGCTGGGGCTTTAGTTGAGGCCTTGGCTGGGGCTTTAGTTGAGGCCTTGGCTAGAGCTTTAGCTGAGGCCTTGACTGGAGCTTTAGTTGAGACCTTGGTTGAAGCTTCAGCCTTAGTTTTAGCACTAGCCTTGGACTTTGGCCGACAGAGCCTCAGACCCTTGGCAATGCGTGCCCGAGCACGCTTCCCCTGCTTGGGATGGGCAATGTAGGCCAGTCGACTGAGCTTGCGGTTGACACCCCTTGGAATCTTAGGCTTGATCTCCTTGGGCTTTATATATTAGAGCCTTGATAGCCTCGGCACGTGCATCCATGGCCTTGGCGTTGTTGGCCTGCATCTTCTTCAGGCCCTTCTTGTTGTGTTTCTTGGCAAAGCGCATGTTCCTCAGAAACTTGGGGTCCACCCCCTTGAGAGACTCATATCGTTGTGATCGGGGTTTCTTGATACCATTTCTGTGCCATTTTCGGGACTGGTTGTGCGTGGTGTGGTTCTTGGACTTGGCCACGTCTGACCGAGACCCGCAACTCCCGGCACGCCAGGGACCGGAAGAGCAAGAAGCTTATTTTTAAGTGAACCTGAGATGTTAGTTGTAGTGAGTGCTACTGAATTGTTTCCAACTCATAGCAATCCTGTATAGGGTTTCCAAAGAATGACTGGTGGGTTTGAACTACCAACCTTGTGGTTAGCAGTCCAGTGCTTATCCTACAGTGCCATCCCAGAACTCCATTAATAGTTGTTGTTGTTGTTAAGTGCCATCAAGTTGGTTCCAACTCATAGCAACCTTCATAGGGTTTCCAGAGCAGCTGGTGAGTCTGAACTGCCAACTTTGTGGTTCAAAGCACATTATTGTGTGCGATTGCTGTACTTGAAGATATTATAACTTCAAGAATTATATCATTAATGCAGTCTAGCGCATTAATCCACAGCGCCACACCAGGGTTCCCCATAATAGTTGTTGTTGTTGTTGTGAAGTACCGTCGAGTCGACTCCGACCCATAGTGACCTTGTGCAGGGTTTCTAAGGAGTAACTGCTGAGCTTGAACCTTTCAGTTCAAATGGCTTTACAGTCTGGCGCATTAACCCAGTGCACCACTCCAGGACTCCCCCATAATAGTTAGGTGGATAGAATTAATAACCTCCACAGTGGATGGCAGGAAGGACCAGTCACTGGAAAAGGATATCATGTTTAGTAGGGTGGAGGGTCAGAGAAAAAGAGGAAGACCCTCCAGCAAGATGGATTGGCAAAGTGGCAGCATCAATGGGCTCAAGCGTGACAACGATAGTGAGGTTGGTCCAGGATCGGGCAGTGTTTCATTCTGCTGTGCATGAGGACGCTATGACTCGGTACCAACTCAATGGCAACTAATAACAACAACAACAACAACAAAAAAGCCCTAGTGGATGACAGAAGGTAAATTTTTACATCAGACATGTCAGTGCATTAGAGAAAATCTACTATTTTTATGGCCCTACCACTGTCCAGCAAGTCCATTACTTTAAGGCTAAAGACAGACGCTAATTTGTATAACTGGTTTAAGTAACAAGGCAATAGGTACTTACAAATGATAAATTAAACAAAAATTATATTATCTTAGAAACAATAAGCAAAAATTAAGATTTAATAGTATAAGTAAAATAATGCCATTTTTTTTAACTTCAGTTACAAATTTGACAATTTTTTAAAACAATGAAGAATAATCAGGGCATAAATTTAGGACTGAATGGTATTATATCAAAAAGCTTTTGGTATTTCAACATAGTGTAACAATTAAGAAAGATTTCATTCTACTTTACCCCTGGAGTAGACAGTGGCATTGAAGGCTGCCCTTGACTGTTCCCTGGGTGCTGTGTTAACCCAACAGGAGCTGAAGGCTGTGCTGCAGAAAGCTGGGTACTGGCTGCAGGTTGCTGAGATAAATCTACTTTGTGGCTTTTATTTGACCCATCCAATCTGCTACTTCTCTCTATGGCAATCAGGTCACGGATTTTTTGCAGCTGCTCCACTGATGCTTTTTTAGGAAAAATAAGATGTGTTTCTCCCTGGAATTTACAAAATGAGAAAAGATGAACTTTTCCCCAGTAGTACAGAATAAATTTTAACAGTCATTTTGTTTGTTTACAATTAATATAGTCTTTTTTTTTTTTTTTTTTTACAAAGGAGGTTACAAAAAATTTATGGAAAAACTCCATTATCTTTTAATCTCACATTTCCACAAACTTTTTGAAGGCCTCTTGTATGCCAAAAAATTAAGATAATGTGTCTAATTAGTTTATTTAATGTGGTTCAAAGGCCCATTCAAAAAAAGATTTTGTCTTTTAGAAATTAGAGTTTCAAGAGTGTACCTTCTTCTCTGCAACAGTAGACAGCACTAATATTCACCATGACATAACAGTTGCTGTTAGACATACAACTATACAAAAGAATCTGCGGCAGAATAAACCAATTAGAAAGTAAACAATAACCTTTGAATCTTCTAAATTCAAGTGTTTAACAAATGGCTACATGATTAGAAGTCTATGAAAATCTACACCCTGCTATTGAATTCAAAACTATGGATTATTAACAGTAATACACTAGTGGTACACACGAAACAAAGTAAAGCAAGATAAAAAATAAAACAAGTCAAAAGTCAGTTCTTTAAGTAGTGATTAATGATTACCTATAAAATAACTTGAGCACTTTAAAATAACATGACAACAAAATTCCCAATGTAAGAATAGCAAATTATATTTTAAAGAGTGAAACGAAAATATATTGTCAAACTTCAAAGGTGTTGAAAATCAACAGTGCCCAAACAGTAATTCCATCAAATGCAAAGGTGATAAACAGGTAGCGACACCATATTTCAACTCCAAAACTGAGAATGACCGTATTTCTCTCATTATGGCAGAACTAGTGTGATCAACTAGCCTAGACTTTACACAATAAAATACATGAGAACCAAAATCACATAGGTCCTTCCAAAGAAATTGGAAGAGGCAAGAAAGTCCCATGCTATCCTTAATAGGGGTTCTGGTGGAACAATGGTTAAGCACTTGGCTACTAACCAAAAAGTTGGTATTTTGAACCTGCTCAAGAGGCACAATGGGAGAAAGACCTGGCGATCTCCTCCCATACCTCTATGGGGCAGTTCTACTTTGTCACATGGGGTTTCTGTGAGAATCAATTCAATGGTGCCTAACAACAAAAGCTGTAACAAAAACCACTAACACTGACAGTGCATTTATTTTTTCTAGGTATTATGCCAACATTTTATAGGCATCATCTCAAGTAGTACAATCATCCTGAAAGGCGGCTGCTGTTGTGAAGTGCAATCAAGTCGGTTCCGATTCACAGAGAACCTACGTAGGGTTTCCGAGGAGCAGCTGATGGGTTTGAACCACTGACTGTGGTTCACAGTTCAGTGCTTATCCTATAGTACCACACCTGGAGTCCTGAAAGGTAGGATGACACATTTACCCACTGCCATGGGTAAAGCCTTCAGTATGGATTGCACTTCAATGCATAACAAAAATCTCACAATTGGACAGGTAAACAACTTCATGATAAATGGAGAAAAGATTGAATTTGTCAAAGACTAAATTTTGCTTAAATCCATGACTGACACTCATAGAAGCAGCAGTTATGAAATCAAATGACATATTGCATTAGGTAAATCTGCTGCACAAGACCTCTTCAGAAAGTATTCCAGAGCAAAGGTGTCAGTTTGAGGACTAAGGTGACCCAATATTCAACAAGTGTAAGTGCCTAAATGGCACTAGACTACTAACTGAAAGGTTGATGGTTCTAAGCCATCCAGAGGGGCCTCAGAAGGATCTGAGGATCTGCTTCTGAAAGGTTTGTTGTTGTTGAGTGACACTGAGTTAGTTCTGACCCATAGCGACCCTGGACAGGGTTTCCGAGGAATGGCTGGTAAGCTTGAACTACTGAAAACCCAAAAAGAGCACAGTTCTACTTTGGCACATGAGGGGTCACCTGAATCAGAATCAAATTGACGGCAACTGGTTGAGTTTGGATTTTAAATGCATCAACACTATTTTAGGAGCACTAAAACAGAACGAAATGAAAAATAAAGAAACCAACCCCTCATGTAGCTTATAGAAACTACTACCTCAAATTTAAATTAAAATAAAACGCTTTCTAATTGGCCTCCCTGCTACATACATACTTTGCCCTCATCCTACATTATCCAGTACAGGATGGGCATGGAGAGGCTACAAAAATATGTGGAAAAATTCCATTACCTTTTAATTCTGTGTTTCCATTAACTTTTTTGAAGCCCCTCACATATTCTTTTTGCAATCGCCAGAGTAAATAAAAAAAAATCTTCCCTGCTTAAACCTTTCAATGGCTTCCCGTCTTACTTGGAATAACCCATAGCACTCAAAACTCCATACATTCTGGCTCCGCCTCCCTTTCCACCTTAACCTTCTGTGCCCAGTTACTCCTGCCAGGCGTCCTTTGCACATGGTAACCCTTCTGCCTGAAATCCTCTTACCTGAAAACTTCACATAGCTGACTACTTCTGTCATTCAGGTTCCAACAATTCAAATATAATTTCCTCAGCAGTCCTGAAACTCATTATAAAGATTTCACGTACCACCCCAGTGGAGTCCTGGTGTGGTGTTACAGGATAAGCACTGGACGGCTAACCACAAGGTTGGCAGCTCAAACCCACCAGCCATTCCTCGGAAACCGTATACAGGGTCACCACTATGAGGCCGAAACGACTCAACAATGACAATGGTAACGAGACAACACCACCAGCTGCCTTTTCTTATATTATTTTGTTGCTAGGTGCCATCGAGTTGGTTTCAACTCACAGTGACCCCCGTACAGCGTTTCTGAGGAGCAGCTGGTGGGTTTGAACTACTGATCTTGAGGTTAGAAATTGAGTGCTGATCCTATACTATCTTATATTCTTCTTTGCATTCACCTTGTTTTATTTACATATCTATTGTCTGGTATGGCGCTGCAGGTTAATGTGCTGGACTGCAAAGCAGTTTGAACTGCAAGGTCAGCGGTTCAAGCTCACCTGTTGCTCCTCGGAAATCACATACAGGGATACTATGGGTCAGAACTGACTCGACAGCACTCAACAACAACAACTAGTATGTTTAACCTACTAGAATACAAGCCTCATATGAGATGGGATCTATAACTCTGTAGTTCACCACCATAACCCCAGGGTCTGTCTGTTTGGGAAGGAAAGCAGAGAGGCAGGGAGGAAAGTACATCTGGTAAGCAGCAGCTCAGTGTCTCTAACAATTTCTACAACTTTGCCAATCCAATTCTCCTAACTACGGACTACTGAGTCTCCATAACCTGATTCAACTTCTTTCAAATCTTCATAAACTAGAAACAGTTAAACAAATAAGCAGGAGGAAAAAATGGCCATCTTTGATAATTACTTCATCATGTCTTATTATTAATTAAGCAGTGAAAGTGCACACCACAATATTCCAGAATAGAAACACCAAACTTTCTGGCCTTAAAAACAAAAACAAAAACAAACCTATTGAAAGTCTTCTCTCTGGCCACAGATGAGAACTCCTATGTGGAAGCTGAACTCAGTTTTTCCATGTTTACTTCGGATGCTTTTTATTTCTCACTGGAGACACGTGGTTGGACTCTATTTGTATCCATGTGTGCTCACAATGAGGATTTTGAGAAGTCTGAGGTAAACCTCATTTGGTTCTTGGGCTTGGATAACAGAACCCCCTGTTCCAGAGGATCGAGTCAGGTAAGGATTTTCCCTGTGGGAGGGTGGCTATAATATAGTAGGATTCTGAAATACATTCACTGTGCCCTTTAAATAACAAACAGGTGAAGAAATAACTAGTTCCAACTATCTGCTCTAGGGTACCTAGTAATTCGAAAACAGAAATGCAACAAATGGGTAGCTTTATTTATTTTCTCGGTTTGTTGTTGTTAAGCGCTGTCAAGTCAGTTCTGACTCATAGCTCCCATAGATAGTTTCCGATGAGATGAGGAACTGGTGCGTTTGAACCAACAACCTTGTGGTTGGTGGTCCAGTGCTTATCCTATAGCACTACACCAGGACACCTTTCTCAGTTTGCTGTTGTTAAATGCCATCGAGTCAGTTCAGACGCATAGTGACCCTGTATAAAGTTTACAAGGAGTGATTGATAGGTTTAACCGCCAATTTTGTGGTTAGCAAGTGCTTACCCTACAGTGCCACACCAGGATTCCAGTTTAGGAGACATACATCCAAAGTCAGCGGACAAGCTCTAGGAGAAGGCGTTCTTTTTCTGTGGGCTCTGAGGAAAGACCCTTGTTTCTTTTCAGCTTCCGCTTCTTGGTTCCTTGGAGATCTCATGTTCTGTGCCATTTTTCTTCCCCTAGCTGTGCTTACTTGCATCACTGCTTGCTTAATCTGCTCTTTTATATCTCAAAAGAGATTGTTTTTAAACCCAAGTAGGATTACCCAATAAGCATACTTGGGCTTAACTTACAAATCTGTACTGAAGTTGCACACATTTTTTTCACATATTTGCTTACTGTAATCCATCCTTACCTAAAACACACCCTATACTAATACAATTCATTAACCACAAACCCATTAAGGAATGGGATTACAATCACAGGTATACCCAACAAACTCACTGCCTTCTAGTCGATTTCAACTCATAGCAATCCTCTTTAGGGTTTCCATGCCTGCAAATACTTACGGAAACAGCTGGTGGGTTTTAACCTCCAATCTTGGGGTTAGGAGTCCAATGCCTAACCCAGAGAACCACCAGGGCTCCTTAACCACAAGTATACCTCAAACCTCTACCATCTTATCAATTCCGAGTCATGGCAACCCTGGATAGGATTTCCAAGGCTATAAACCGTTACAGGCGATGATAGCCTTTTTTTTCTCCTGTGGAGTGGCTGGTGAGTTAGACCAGCTGACCTTGCGGTTGGTAGTCCATCTCTTACTCTACAGAGCCACTGGGACTTCTAACCAGTTATAAAGGGTTAAGATTTATAACATAAGATTTACAACATATAAGATTTACACCATGTAGGGTGCACAATTCAGTCCATACTATCTCACTCAGATGAGTATCCCTCAGCATGACAGAATGCTTTGCATATGAAGGGAGAGAAAGCACATGAGCATACTTACTTCTTCAAATCCCATTTCAAATAAACATTCAACAGCTCCTCTGACAGGCAAAAGTCTAGTAGAAAATGTTGTATTTCCAATCCGGATAGATCTATATTTTTCATCATTAGGGTTTCTGATAAAAAAAAAAAAAAAAGATTATATATAACAATGGATTTTTTAAAGATATTTTTGAATTCATATTAGTGCACTCCTAAAAGGTAGTGTACACTCTAAAGGAAGAGTAATCTAAAGGTTGGTCTGGAAAAAGTAGCTAGACTGTGTGATTCTTACCTCAGTATACATTCACAGCTGATAATATAGTCATAATGGAAATATACATGATATTTAAAAGTCACTCACTATAAGTGCTTAGCTCTGGTAGCGTAGTGGTTATGAATCGGGCTGCTTATCTCATGATCAGCAGTTCGAAACTACCACCTGTTCCACGGAAGAAAGATGAGGCTTTCTGCTCCTGTAAAGATTTATAGCCTTGGAAACCCTATGCAGGGTCGCTATGAGTCAGAACCAACTCCACAGCACATAACAACATACTGGTTACGAGTCGGGCTGCTAACCTCACGGTCAGCAGTTCAAAATTACCAGCAGTTCCACAGGAGAAAGATAAGGCTTTCTGCTCCCGTTAAGATTTGTGGTGGTTGTTATGTTCCGTGGAGTCGGTTCCGACTAATAGCGACCCCGTACGGGGTTTTCCAAGGCTGTAAATCTTCACAGGAGCAGAAAGCCTCATCTTTCTCCCATGGAACAGCTGCTAGTTTCGAACTGCTGACCTTGCAATTTGCAGCCCGATTCGTAACCACTATGCTACCAGAGCTCCTTCTGTAAAGATTTGCAGCCTGAGAAACCCTGTGCAGGGTCTCTATGAGTCGGAACCGACTCCATGGCACACCACCACCACCACCACCACTGTTAAAGCTAGGTAACTTTAAACACCCAACGGAATGCGGAAATCATCGGACAATCTCTTTGATATCTCAAGCTAGCGAAGTTTTGCTAAAGGTAATACAGAAACGGCTACAATCATACATTGACAGAGAACTTCCAGAGGTTCAAGCTGGATTCAGAAGAGGCCGTGGAAC